GTTGATGCTATTCCTTTCTGTTTGTTAGTTTTCCTTCTAACAGACAGGCCCCTCAGCTGCAGGTCTGTTGGAGTTTGCTGGAGGTCCACTCCAGATGCTGTTCGCCTGGGTATCACAAGCGGAGGCTGCAGAACAACAAATATTGCTGCCTGATCCTTCCTCTGGAAGCTTTGTCCCAGAGGGACACCCGCCTGTTTGAGGTGTCTGTTGGCCCTTACTGGAAGGTGTCTCCCAGTCAGGCTACACGGGGGTCAGGGACTCACTTGAGGAGGCAGTCTGTCCGTTATTGGAGCTTGAACACTGTACTGAAAGAACCACTGCTCTCTTCAGAGCTGGCAGGCAGGGACTTTTAAGTCTGCAGAAGCTGTCTGCTGCCTTTTGTTCAGATATGCCCTGCCCCCAGAGGTGGAATCTAGAGAGGCAGTAGGCCTTGCTGAGCTGTGGTGGGCTCCGCCCAGTTCGAGCTTCCCTGCTGCTTTGTGTACACTGTGAACATAGAACCGCCTTCTCAAGCCTCAGCAATGGCGATGCCCCTCCCCCTGCCAAGGTCCCATGTTCCAGGTCAATTTCAGACTGCTGCACTAGCAGCGAGCAAGGCGCTGTGGGTGTGGCACCCACCAAGCCAGTCACAGGGGGGTTTCTCCTGGTCTGCCGGTTGCAAAGACCATGGGAAAAGTGCAGTATTTGGGCACCAGTGTACTGCTCCTCCAGGTACAGTCACTCACGGCTTCCCTTGGCTGGGAAAGGGAAATCCCCCGACCTCTTGTGTTTCCCGGTGAGACGATGCACCACCCTGCTTTGGCTCTCCCTCCATGGGCTGCACCCACTCTCCAACCAGTCCCAATGAGATGAACCAGTTACCTCAGTTGGAAATGCAGAAAATCACCCGTCTGCTGCGTCAATCTCGCTGGGAGCTGTAGACTGGGGCTGTTACTGTTCAGCCATCTTGGAAGCGCTCACTTTATCTTTTCAAAGAGTATTTTGTGTGACTGAATGCTCTGACCTTTTGATTTTCTGAGATATTTACAAAAGATTGTCCAGGCCCAGCCTCAACTTTTTCTCTAGAGCATATTTTCCTGACAGTGAATCTCTAAATTTTAGCATATTTTGCAATGTGAATGGGCTGAGAATTTCCCAAGTCATCAAGTCCTGGTTTCTTTTTGTTTAACAGTTCATTCTTCAATTTGTCTCTTTCCTCTTGCGTTTTACATAAGCAGCAAGAAGACATCAGGCCATACCTTTAACGCTTTTCCTGAAGATCTCCTCAGCTAAATTTCCAGTTTCATCATTTATAAGTTGTGTTTTCCGCATAACTGTAGGACAGTTCTGCTAAACTTTCTGCCATTGTGTAACAAGGATCATCTTCTCTCAAGTTTTCCAATAACATGTTCGTCACTTCCTTCTGAGCCTTCACTAGCAGTGCCTTTAACATCCATATTTCTACCAATAGTCTGTTTACAATGATTTGGGTATTTTCTAAGGTAATTTGTGTTTTCTCTGCCATACTTTTCACTTCTTTCTGAGCCCTCACTAGTGAAAGCATGTATTAACATCTATATTTCTACTACATTGAAGGCAATGTAGGTTTTTTCTGTCAAACTTCTCAAAATTGTTGCAGCCTCTGCCAATTACCAATTCTAAAGCCACTTCCATGTTTTTAGGTATTTGTTATAGTAGTACCCCACTTCCAGATACCATCTGCTATATTCTTTTTCATTATATCATATCTTTGTGAATCTGGATTTAATCCATTTACATTTAAAATAATTACTGATGAGGAGAGACTTACTTCTGTCATTTTGTTGTTTGTTTTCTGTGTCCGTTGTAGCTTTCTTTGCCCCTCATTTCCTACATTGCCATCTTTTGTGTTTAGGTGATTTTTTTAATATATAGTGAAACATTTAAATTCCTTTCTCATTTCCTTTTGTGTATATTCTATAGCTGTTTTCTTTGTGGTTATCATGGGAATTACATTTAATATCTTTAAGTTATGACACTCTAATTTGGATTTATACCACCTTAACTTCAATTCCTTACAAAAGTTCTGCTCCTTTAACAGCTGCATCACCATTCCTTTCAGTTGTTGATATCACAGAATTACATCTTTGTACATTGTGTGTCCAAAATCATAAACAAATAATTTGTAATGCATTAGCCTTTTAAATTATGTAGAAAACAAAATGTGGAGTTACAAACCAAAGTTACAATAATACTGGCTTGCAGACTTGTAACTTTTATCTTTTCTTTTTTTTTTTTGAGATGTAGTTTTGCTCTTGTTGCCTGGGCTGGAGTGCAATGGTGCCATCTTGGCTCACTACAACCTCCCCTTCCTGGTTCACGCTATTCTCCTGCCTCAGCCTCCCACATAGCTGGGATTACAGGCATGAGCCACTGCACCTGGCCCATTTTTTTCTTTTAAATGTATTCTCTTACATTATATAGAAAATAAAAAGTGGAGTTACAAACTTTAAGGATTCCTTGAATGTAATATGTTGTTTCTCTCTTGGTGTTTTTAAGATTCTCTGTCTTTGACTTTCATGGTTTGATTACAATGTGTCTGGGTCTGAGTCTCTCCGAGTTCATCCTACTTGCAGTTAAGGTTGGATGTTTATATTCGTGTCTTTCATCAAATTTGGGAAGTTTTTGGCAATTATTTATTCAAATATTCTTTCTGTTCCTTTCTCTCTTCTCTTTCTGGGACTCTGCTAATGCATATGTTGGACCAGTTATGATGTCCTATGGGTCCCTTAGTTTTTGTTCACTTTTCTTCAATCTTTGTTCTTTTTGCTCTTAATACTTGATAATTTCCAATTTTTATCTTCAAGTTCACTGATTCTTTTTTCTGTCTGATCAGATCTGCCTTTGAATTCCTGCAGTGGATTTTTTATTTCAGTTTTCAGACTTTTCAGCTTCAGACTTTCTTTTGGATTTCTTTTTAGGTTTGTTACCACTTTGTTGATTTTCTATTTTGCTTATGCATTGTTTTCTTGACTTTCTGCTCATCTTCATATAGTTTTTTAAGTATCTTTAAGACCATTTTAAAATCTTTGTCGAGTTGATCTATCAGTTCTTTTTCAGGGGTGATTTCTTTTTTTTCCTTTGAATGGGCCACCCTGTCTTGTTTGTTTGTATGCCTTGTAACTTTTTGTTGCAAACTGAACATTTGAATCTAATAATGTGGTAACTCTGGAAATAAAATTCTCCTTTCCTATGGTTTGCTGTTTGTTGTTATTGTTGTTGTTGTTGTTATTGTTGTAGGCTTTCTCCGTGCCAAGGAATAACCTGAGAAGTAAGTTTAAGGTCTTTTCACTTCTTTTTTCAGCTTGCATTTTTTTCTGGGCATTCACAGTGGCTTTCTAATTTTCCCCATATGTGGAATTGCTTTTGAATGTCCTTGTCTTTATGTCTGGCTCACGAAAGGGGAAAATAGAGAAATAGAGGAGGAAAAAAAGATGCCAGGACTTTGAATCCTCTGGATGTCACTTCAACTGGAGGAGGAGAGGGTTGAAACATTGGGGGAGGTTCAACAACAGTGGTCTCTTGCTTCTTGTTTTCACATCTGTGATCAAAAGCAGCGAGCAGTGATCAGGGGATAGATTTGCAATATTTGGAGGACAGTGTCCTTTTTGCCCACACTGGCTCCTACAAGTTGCTCTTAGAACACATGCAGGGTTGCTTCTATAGGGCTGGGAGTGGGGAATGGGTAGCTATTACTGAGCTAAGAACTGAAATTGACCAAAATTAACCACAATTTACCATCCAAGCTTTCCCCTGGAAGTTGCAAACTTTCCAATAGACTCCAGAGTTTCAAAATAGTTACATCATGCAGCTTTTGCTACTGCAGTTGTTGTATATGTAAGGAGACAGCTTCCACATGCTTCTTATTCTGCCATCTTCCCATAAGCCCATCTAATCTACTTCTTTTTAAAGTAGATTTTAAGTAGATTTTTAAGAGGAAATGAGGAATAGTTCTTCATCTGTGACTTGAGAGAAGGATACAGACATAGAGTAGGAACATTAATAGGTTGAAGGGGAGTAAGAGTTTATAGGGGAGGTCATATATGATTACGTTAATCTTTTCTGTGTAGTGAGAATCTAATTTAATATGAGTAAGGTTGGAGATAAGAGTTTCTCTTAACAAGAGAAGAGCTCTGCAAAAACCTTGGGGAATGATCCAGGGGGCCAAGATATTTAAAATATTCTGAATTCTAAGTGTACAGTTTTCCAGTTGTGTATAGCTCTACATTAAGTTGTAATCTCAGGTTATGGAATTAAATAGGAATTAGCAATTCGAAAGTTGGAAGTTTTTAAAAGTAAAATTCAGGTTTTGATTTTTACAAATTACATTTTTTGTTGACCCTGAGTCTTCTGTTGTTCCTTTGGGGAGAAAAATAAAAGAGAAAGACCAAGGGCTGGAACTCAGATATAGCCTCCAGTAACGGCTGTGTAGTAGAATGTTGGAGTGCTTGTTCATGGGCACCATAATGCTACTATGATCAGCATTTGGATGAAGAGGGACTATATAGACATACTAGAGTTAATATTTGATTGATTTATAATAGATAGGGTACAGTATCTGATCCTCTGATTTTTACCTTGTTCTGAATTATCTACCTGTAGTCATCTGACAATCAAATAACTCCCCATCGACTTATTAATATTTAGCTTTATCCTGTCTCTGCAGTCATAGTCTCTAATGTCAGGTTACCCACACACTCCATGATTCAACAAGCCCTGAAAATTTGTAGAACTCTACTTTTTAGCACTTGTGACCATTTCACCTTTTCAACCAAAGTGACTGTTCAGTGTTATGACTTTGTCATCTTGACACATAGCTTGCAAAGGCAATGGATTCCCATCTTGGTTTCTTAAAGTGTAGATTTTCGAAAGTATGCCAGATACTCTAAATTATTGACGTCTGTTAAATGGGAACTTTTCAAAGATCAAAGAATTGTTCAACAAGTGCTAAACTTTGACATACTTCTTGCATTTTCTTTCAGGTTAACAATAAATGCCCTTGCCCAGAAGCTCAATTCTTACTGGAAGGAAAAAACATCTCAATATAATGTTGAGACCTCAGCTGTAGCCAGGCCAATACCGTAAGTAATAGATATAGAATATGAATGTATTAGGGATAATATCCATAGATCAAATGGAAGGAACAAGGGTAATGTGTCCGGAGTTGGTTTCTGCCAGTGGATTCGTGGTCTCACTCACTTCAAGAATAAAGCTGCAAACCTTCCTGGTGAGTGTTACAGCTCTTAAAGATGGCACGGACCCAAAGAGTGAGTGGTAGCAAGGTTTATTGTGAACAGCGAAAGGACAAAGCTGCCACAGCTTGTAAGGGGACCCGAGTGGGTTGCCGCTGCTTGCCGGGGTGGCCAGCTTTTATTCCTTTATTGTTCCCTCCCATGTTCCATTTCTGTCCTATCAGAGTGCCCTTTTTTCAATCCTCCCCACGATTGGCTACTTTTAGAATCCTGCTGATTGGTGCGTTTTACAGAGCGCTGATTGGTACGTTTTACAATCCTCTTGTAAGACCGGAAAGTTCCCTAAGTCCCCACTTGACCCAGGAAGTCCAGCTGGCCTCACCTCTCAGTAAGATGGTGCTTTTCACATCAGGAAGTTTAATTGATTAAAAATAGGAAGTCACAGGTACTAATTGCTTCATTCTCTAAACCTCTTCATTCTGCTTTAACACATTTACGGTCTGGATCATAAATGTGAAGAGTTGAGTACTGTCAATTTAAAACTGGTAGTGTGATATAGTAGAAGATTATGGCTATTTAAATCAAACATTCCTGGGTTGAAAATCTGGATCTGCTTTTTAATAGTTGAGTGAGCTTGGGTAAGTAAGTTACTTCACCTGTCTGAATATATTAACTTAGGTGACATACATTTTTAGCACAGTGACTGGCATATAGTAGGTGTTCAGACATGTTAGCAAACTTCCCTTTTTTTTTAAATTCCTAGTGAGTATTGCTGGGACTGTACCAGTACATGAGAGTGGAAATAGAGAACCCAGTATGTTAAAGAAAAGGTAGAATTTGGGCCGGGCGCAGTGGCTCAAGCCTGTAATCCCAGCACTTTGGGAGGCCGAGACGGGCGGATCACGAGGTCAGGAGATCGAGACCATCCTGGCTAACACGGTGAAACCCCGTCTCTACTAAAAAAATACAAAAAAAAATTAGCCGGGCGAGGTGGCGGGCACCTGTACTCCCAGCTACTTGGGAGGCTGAGGCAGGAGAATGGCATGAACCCGGGAGGCGGGGCTTGCAGTGAGCTGAAATCCGGCCACTGCACTCCAGCCTGGGCGACAGAGCCAGACTCCGTCTCAAAAAAAAAAAAAAAAAAAAAGGTAGAATTTATTGACTCTAAGACAAGTCAGGTAAGGAGCATAATACAGAGGATCGAATGTGTAGCAACACATACACAGTCAGTTACACTACCATCAAGACAAACATTAGAGTGGTAGAAGTTCTTTTTGGAGTAGGTACCTGTTATTTTAATTATTAGGCAAATGTATGATATAAAATTTTATTTCAAATGCAACCTAATGGCTGTATTACCCTCTTCTGTTTTTTAATTTTATTTTAAAATTTTATTTATTTTTAAATTATACTTTAAGTTCTAGGGTACATGTGCACAATGTGCAGGTTCGTTACATATGTGTACATGTGCCGTGTTGGTGTGCTGCACCCGTTAATTCATTTACATTAGGTATATCTCCTAATGCTATCCCTTCCCCCTCCCTCCACTCCACAGCAGGCCCTGGTGTGATGTTCCCCTTCCTGTGTCCAAGTGTTCTCATTGTTCAATTCCCACCTATGAGTGAGAACATGCGGTATTTGGCTTCTTGTCCTTGTGATAGTTTGCTGAGAATGATGGTTTCCAGCTTCATCCATGTCCTTACAAAGGACATGAACTCATCCTTTTTTATGGCTGCATGGTATTCCATGGTGTAT